GGTACGCGCTCCTCCCCGCGCTCCTCCCCGCGCTCCTCTCCGGGCTCCTCCCGCCCACGCTGCGCCGCTAACCCCGGGCCTGCGAGTCCTGCGCTCCGGCTCGGTCTGCTCTTACTCCCTGAGCTTCACCGCGGGACCTGAAACTCTCTTTTACTGCCTTCCCCCCTTGCTCTCGCCCCTGGTCCCACTCTCTTCTTTTTCTCCTCGGTCGAAGGAAGTCCGTTTCCCCAGTCCTCGTCTCTCTATCCACACCCTCTTCCCTCGATTTTGCTCGGCTTGTCTCCAGGCAGAGGCAGCTCTGCGCTCCGACGCGCCTTCGCTGCATCCGGCAGGAGCGGGGAGCCCTGGGCCTCACGTACCTGCGCGGACTGCTGGTGAGGGTTGCAGGGCGCCTGGCCGGCTCTCGACGTTCTTCTGACTGGTTGGTGCTGAGGGAATCTGGAGTCAACATTGTCAGCCTTCCGGGCTCTGCATGCTGGCGGTCAGCAGTTGACTTCTTCATCTTGGTCGGGGTTTTAGCGTCTGCAGAACATCTCAAGGATACAGCTCAGGGTGTTACCGACAGCCCTCAAGGAGGAACTAAAGGTCCTTGACTGTTTTACGGTTAAACTATTATTATTATTTTGTCTTGCTCCACTGTTCTCCTTTGTTTCTGCATTTTCTCCCGTCTCTGATTAAATTTGTTCTTTGGAACTCGAGGAAGACCTAGGAGGCTAAGGCTTGTCTGCAAACAAAGGCAGGGATACAGGCTTGGCGGGGGGGTGGTGTCTGTCCCTGGGAAGGTCCCTCAGGGACCTTCTTGGCTTCGTGTTTTGTTATATTCATTCATTTATTTTTTTAGATTCCACATATAAGTGATATCATGTGACATTCCTCTTTCTCTGTCTGACTTACTTGGTATGATAATCTCTAGGTCCAACCTTGCTGCTGCAAATGGCATTGTTTCATTCTGTTTTCACGGCTGAGTAGTATTCCATTGTATAAATATACCACATTGTCTTTATCCAGTCATCTGTTGATGGACATGTAGGTTGCTTCCATGTCTTGGCTATTGTAAATAGTGCTGCTGTGAACACTGGGGTGCGTGTGTCTTTTTGAATTAGTGTTTTCATTTTCTTGGGGTAAACACCCAGGAGTGGGATTGCTGGATCGTATGGTAACTCTATTTTTGATTTTTTTGAGGAACCTCCATGCTGCTTTACACAGAGGCTGCGCCAATTTACATTCCCACCAACAGTTCATGAGGGCTCCCTTTTCTTCACACCCTCTACAATGCTTGTTATCTGTCATTTTGATGATGGCTATTCTGACAGGTGCGGGGCGATCCGTCACTGTGGTTTGGATTTGCATTTCTGAATATCAGGTTTGAGGAAGACGACAAAGTTCTCTCTGCTCCGAGTCACTGTCACCACCCCCGTTCTTGGCCTCTTGGGTCAAGAACTTCCTTCAGTCCCAGAACCTCCTCCCTTGGGTCTCACGGCCCCTGTGGCCTCTCTTCCTCCTCTGCCCAACCTTGATTCCAGGCTGGTCATATGGCTGTTCACCGGCTGTGAGCCAGACAGACCATCTTCACCGACCTGGTTGAAGGCCGTTACTCTGGCACTTGGAGTCACCCAAGGTCAGGGCTGACCTGGTGCTCAGTTCCCGGAGCACAGGAATCTGCCCAAAGGTGTCCCAGCAGCACCAGAATGAGAACCGTGAGGGAGGTCCTGGCTGTGGCCCCTCCGTCCTTCCTCAACCCCCTCCTCCCTCTCCCCTTCCTTTTCCTTTTTCCTTTTCCAGTTTGGAGCCAGAAAAAAAGGTGTGGAAAGGACGTGTGAAATCAAGGTTCCGGTGGACGTGCTCAGACCTGGTACCTGGCGCATCCTGCCCAGACTTCTGATGCACAGAGTCCCTGGAAATAAATGTCATTGCTGTTTTGTATCGCTAAGTTTTGAAACGGTTTGGTCTGCAGCAGTGGATAACCAAAGGTACATCGTCTACTGAATTAAACACTAAGTGTGCAGCTGTAGTAATTAATTCTGCCTCCAGCTTCCCTTCCTGTGGTAACGCCTACCCATCACCGTCCCGAGCTCTTCCCGCAGCCCTTCCCAGCACCGCCAGCAGCGTGCGCAGTGGAGCGATGTTGTGTGTGTCGAGCACGTTCTTAGCATTGTGTTTCTTATTCGCATGTTTGACAAGCGTTGATTGAGATCCACGTCAGGCCAGACTCTGAGGGTTTAGAGCTGAGTGTCTGCCTTCTATCTTCTCCATTTTTCAAACCAGAATTTACATAATCATTCCTTGGAAATCGCTCTTTGACTTGAACAGATTGATCCAGGTGTCCTTTTCTTGCGTATTTGTACGTTTTAGCTCCAAAGAACTTATGGTACCTTACAATATGACCTATGGTATCAAACCATGAAAATAAAATTAAAATGGAAAGTATCAGGACAGAAAAATAAGTACACAATGAACCGAGTTTAATGGCATTGCCGCAAGTGAGCGAGCACCTCTGGGACCCCGGCGGAAGGAGGCCGCGGGTGGGTCATTTTCATGGCTCGGTGAAAGCAGGCAGGTCACTGCTCCAGCAGAGATGGAGATTCTGACTCCCCTGCTGGGGGGTGGGGGGACAGGGGACCAGAGGTGAGCAGCGGAGACAGCACGGGTGGACGGCAGGGCTTGCGAGGACCTGGGCCGTGGGAAGAGCAGAGCGTGCTGGGGCTGGGAGGGCGGCAGGAGGCTGGTGGGAAGGGCTGTGGCCGGAGGATGCAGGGACAAAAGGGCTCATCGATGGGGCAGGCCCTGGGCTGGAGATTCGGACTCGGGAGAATGACGAGTTTCCTGGCCAGCGCTTCCAGGGTTCAGTTTAAATGAGACGAGCGTGTAGGAGGGGGGTTGGGGGTTGAAGAGAGTGGGTGTGCACTGGACTCTCCTGGTAGAACCTGCCGGAATGGAAGCCTGTTCCAGATTCAGACCACTGGGGCGTCTGGATCCAGAGAGACAGCGAAAAGTCAGATGGCGACAGAAGGCCAGCGGGGCCTGCTCAGCCTCCAGAGGCTCCTGGCCCGCACACAGCCTCCCCTCTGAACCACGGAGTCCTGGCGCGGAGGCCCCCCCCCCCCCGCCACCACCTCGTCCTTTCCGAGCGTGGCGATTGGCAGAGACCGGCCCAGACAGGACGGGCGGCCTGGCCAATGGGGCGGCCGGCGGGGCGGGTCCGCGGACAGCGGTTGGGGAGGAAGGTGGGTTCCCGAGGGGCTGGAGGGCGAGGAGGGAGGCCGAGCGGGGCTTCCGAGGGCGGCGCAGACGCGGGGGCGCGGTGGGTCCACCCGGAGAGGCCTCCCGGTCACCGCTCGGTCGGGCCGCAGCGCTGTCCGCGAAGGAAGAGGAGCAGGGAGCGGCGGGCCCGAACCCCAACTGCCCCACCCCCCGCGGGAGCCGCCGGTGAGCGCGGGGCACGCGTGGGGTCCCCATTTCCTCGCCGTCCCGAGGCCGGGCTGCCAGGGTGCCGGTCCCGCTTTCCCACCCTGGCGCCCCCCTGTGCTTGGCTGCTTGGCCGCGTGGCAGGGGGCAGGTGGGGCTTGAAGTCTCCAATCTCAGTGTTCTTACCTGGAAGTTGAGACTTCGTCTCATGAGGTTGCTCCGAGCGTAGGGGGCCCGGCGAGTGCAGGGCCGTCGGCGCACAGCCGCGTGCCGGGTGCCCCCCGAGTGCTGGACACACGGACCGGCCTCCACCGGCCCCCTCGGACCCGCTCGGACTCCTGCGTGTGGACTGCTCACACGTGACCTGATACCTGGGGGCGATTTGAAATACGGCCAAGTCCCGGATACCTTTTAAAGAGACTTACCAGCACCCTGACCATTTCTTCTATAAAAACCCAAAGCATTTTTAAAAACTCAGAAAATCCCAAGGGTGGGAGAGGATGTGGGGAAATTGGCAGCCTTGTCCCCTGTTGGTGGGACTGGGAAATGGTGCCGCTGCCGTGGAAAACAGTGTGGTCAGTCCGCAAAAGACCGGACATAGAATTACCAGTGACCCAGCACTCCCGCGTCTGGGTCTGCGCTCACGAGGGGCGATCGCTCAGCCCAGACATAGCTGCACACCCTTGGTCCCGGCGGCGTTACTCACGGGGCCCAAAGCGGAAAACAACACAAGTGTCCATGGACAGGTGGACGGATAAACTCAACGTGAGCTACACACACAGTGGAAGATTATTCGGTCTTTAAAAAAGAAGGAAATTCTGACATAGGCTACAACATGGATGAACCTTGAGGACACTGCTCAGTGAAATAAGCCAGACACAGAAGGACAGATACTGCGTGTTTCTTCTTAGAGGAGTCAAATTCACAGAGACAGAAAGTAGAACAGTGCTTGCCAGGGGCTGGGGGAGGGGGTGGGGGGGTGAGTGATAATGGGAACAGAGTTTCCGTTAGGGAAGGTGAGAAAGGTTGGAGATGGATGGTGGTGATGGCTGCACAATCATGCGAATGCACTTAATGCCACTTAAACATGGTCAGAGTGGTAAAGTTTGTGTTATGTGTATATTACCGCAAAGAAAAAGCACTCAAAACATTCATTAAATGCTCTAAATCTCAAGTTAAATTAAGTAGTCACTGTCATTTATAACACAGGCAAGAGAACAAACCCTGACAACCGCCAAGATTAAGCTGATAAAGATTTGAAAAGGTTTACTTTTCTGTTACGAAGCCTCCAGCACATATACAGGCCCGCCGCGGGTCGGCGGCTGAGAGGTGGTCAGGCCTCTTGTTATTATGATAGGTAAAATATGGAGACAGGTGCCCTCGGAAAAGCTGTGGGCGGAGCAAGGTCACATGAGAGAAAGAAAAGAAAATGTTCTGCTTCGCCACCCAGTTGTAGGACGTTTCCTGGCAGAGACGCCAAGTCAGAGCCTGCTGTGGGGCTTCCAGCACAGCCAGACACTCCCAGAACTGTTGAATTGGCTCTTCACCCGTGCATTTGTCAAGTCTATAGGCCTGTTCTGGGTGGCGTGGGCGTCACAAACGTGACCAGTTTGATTCCTGACCCCCAGACGCTGACGACCAGTCGGAGAGATGACAGACACAAGTGTAACGGTGTGACAGTGGGGTGCGTCCTGAGGGGGACAGTGGTTGTCCTGGGCTGAAATGTGGAGAGAGAAGGGACCCTGGCCGGGGGAGCAGACACTTGTGGTCAGGATGTGAAGCCCGCTGCTGACGGCAGTCCGACTCGAGCGATGTCCTCAGATGTGCTGGGGAGTCCAGCTCGGCTGTCATGTTCTGACTGAGCTCCTCTTGTCTTCCCTTCCCCAGCCGGTCCGCACCCCCGTCCCTGAGCGTCCGAGGAGATGGCCGCGGCGGCGGTGGCTGGGCTGATCCCGGTGCTGCACTCGGTGGCCGGCGACAAGTCCAGCTACTACGTTGGGCGGCAGCTGTGGTTCGGCTTCATCGCGGTGTACGGAGTGGTGGTGTACGTGGTCCGCATGCCCTGGGCCGACCTCCACCAGGACTTCTGGTGCCATGGCAGCATCACCTACCCCTGCCTGATCGAGTGCTTCGAGAGCAGCTTCAGCAGCCCCGTGGTGGGCCTCTGGTACTTCTTCTTCTTCCTCTTCCTGGCCTTCTTCTTCCTCATGGAATTCTTCATGGCTCAGGTCCGGCACAAGCAGATCAAGGCCAAGCTAGTGGAGTCGGAGGCGGCGGACGTGGAGGAGGGCTCCATGGTGGGGGTCCAGGAGCAGGCGCCCTCCCCCAAGAAGGCGGCCCCCAACTTCCACCAGGAGAAGGCGCTCCTGCTGCTGTATCTCGTGCACTTCCTCCTGCAGGTCAGCTCCCAGGGCGTGTTCCTGTTCCTCCTCCACTACCGCCACCTGCCCCTGGTGAGCCAGGCCACCATCCGCTGCAGCACTGGCAGCTGCCCGGGGCCCTACTTCTGCCTGGTCCGCGGCTCCATCGAGAAGCGGATGTCCATCTACACCCTGGTCACTCTGTCCTTCATGATCATCCTCTTCTGCTCTGGCTTCTTCATGTACAGCGTCCACCACTACCTGCTGAAGGGCCTCCGAGTGCCAAGTATTGGCCTAAATGACGGCGGGCAGCTCAGGTCCCTGAACTCTGTCTGCCAGCCCCCGCCTTCCTCCTTCACAGAATAAACCCGTGTTCTCCCTTTCTCTGGCCACAGCCAGGCTCGCTTGTCTGACTGGGCTGGAGGGACATGCGTGGTGACGTGGCCGAGCCCCTCCCCGGAGGCCTGTGACACTGAGCGTCCCACCTCGTCCTTCCTATGCCTTCCAGTCAGGAGGTGCTGAGAGCTGTGAAGGTTCAGAGGAGGTTGGGTGGCTTGCACTGTGGCCTCCCCGGTTTGGGCTGTAAACCCAAAGCAGACAGTTCTTCACGGGACCACTCCTGGCCGGACGGGCAGGGGAGCTTCTCCATGCTTGCGTGTGTGGCCCAGCAAGGACCGACCCAGTCTAGGGGAGCCCCTGAGAAGGAGGAGTTGGAGGGTGGGGTTGAGGCTCACTGTGCACAGAGCCATGCTGCATCCCAGAGATGTCCAAGCCCAGCCCGGGGCTCCCCTTGCCCAGGTCTGCTGTCTGCCCACCCATGGAGGCTTGACCAGACCCTTGGGGAGGGGCAGAGCTGGGGATCCAGACGTTACCTAGAGAGTCAGGCTGCTCTCTCATCCTGTGCCTGAGGCCTGGGCTCCCTCCGGGCCTCTGTGTGAGACATGGGGCAGAGGGCAGAGCTGGGGCCCCACCTGACCTGCCCAAGCCAGCATGATGCTTCCAAACCACTCAGGTGAATGTGGTCCTATTTCCCCTTGGTCCTGAAGCTGACTGTGCAGACAGACCTGAGCGTGGCTCTCAGTGATTTCTGTCCCCACCCCCCAACCCCAATGTCCATGCCTTTGAGTAACCCTCGCTTTTGAGTGCTGGCAGGAACCGTGACTTGATTCTAACAGATCAGATGTCACTCCCATGATCGTGTCTTTTTATGTAGAAGATTCTCCCTCACTGGCTTTGAAGGGAGGGGCTACGGGGAAGGAGCATGGCAGGGACTTCCAGGGGCAGGTCCTGGGGCGGCACCTACCCTGTTCCCACTCCGGGAGCTGGGCAAGCCCTTCCCCTGTTTTCTTCTCCTTCGAGCCTGGACTGCAGAGCTCAGGGTCCAGGTTGGGGCAGAGGGGAGGCGGGGTGGGGCGCGTCCTCAGCAAAGGAGGAGAAAGGGCGGCCATGACCCATAATTCCCCAAATGGACTCCATCTTCCACGGGACGATGCCATCACTATGTCCCGCTGACACATTACTTCTGGGAAGAGCTATTTTTCATTTTTACTAAATGTGATCCTACTCCTCCCACCCCGAGCCCCGCTTCTCTCTCCTTCCTGCCCCCTCCCTTTCTCTTCATTCATTCAGAACCAATTTCATGCCCTTCCGGCTACTGCGAGCTGGAGGCAGCTCCCGTATTTCCCCGCAACTCCCCTGCCTTCCTCCCCTCCCGAGGCTGAGACCGGCCCACGGGGTCAAGTAAGTTTTTGTGACCTCTAGGGAGCAGGACAAGAGAAGGCGAGAGAGAAATGCCACTGCAACAACATAGACGTTGTTAAGAAATTTATTTGCAATTCTTGTTTTTTGGGTTTTTTGTTTGTTTTTTAAATAACATCATTCCTTAGGTAAAAATGCAATCTTACAGGAATATACACAGCGTCTCACACAGAGACGGCCTGCCACTCTCCTCCACCCCCGACCCTTCTCCAGGGGAGGGTCGCAGGCCAGGCCGTCAACGGGCTGTTTGCTGATTACAAACTGTACAACAGTATTTACAACAGTGAGGCCGGGGGCCCCGAGGGAAGGCGCGGGGGCATGGGGGTGACGGGCCCTTGGGTGTCTCCTGGAAGGGGCATGACTCAGACGGGTGGGGTGAAGGCGGGCGCAGCAGAGGGGAGGGTGGGCAGGGCCTGTCCGCTGGGCAGCCCTGGGTGCGAGGATGAAGCAGGGATGTGTGAGCGTGACGGATGGTCACCACCAGGACCTGTCACCTGATTCTTGGTGAACAGTGTGTTTTTCCATGGAGGGGGGTCTCAGTGGCTCCCGTTGCTGACACCCTTGGGCCTCCAGGACCTTCCTCCCTAGGGGGAACCTCATTCCCATGAGGCTCCAGAGACCAGTGCCGGAGGGTGTGAGGCGACGCGTCGGGGAGGGGTGCACGTGGTGGGGCGGTGGGAGCCCGCAGCACGTGGGCCTCCAGAGCTCTCTGAAGGAGACCGCCGTAAACCGTCTGCCCTCGAGTCTCAAGTGTTGCTTTTCCCTCATCAAGCCTCTGTGTAGTTTTCCTGTGTTGGGAAGTCTGAGGGGGAGGGGGCTTGGCGCCCAGTGACCCGTCCTCATCCCGGCCCACAGCCCCCGGGCCCCCTCCGTGTCTCCTCCCAGAGCTGCTCTGGCCAGTTTCTGATGCAGTGTAATCACAGGGGACAAACTGGCTGTAACTAATTCCTGGGGATTAAATGTCATGCCACGTTCCCAAGATGACTGATTCTGAAAACTGGGGTTCCCAGACGCCCCACAAAGGGGGGACCCCTGTGACACCTGGAGGGGGCTGTGACTCGGCTCACATAACACGTAGGCTCTCCTCTGTCTGGTCTCCCCCAGGTGCGTGGAGAAAGGGAATTCATGGACTCTGCGCGACTCAGGCTGACGGGACGCCCGCTGTGGCCCTGCCTCCCCTTCAGACACCAGGAGGAGGCTTCCCTAAAGCCGCGGGGAGCCTGCGGGGCTTCCCCACCATCTGCTGTGACCAAGCGTCCTAAAGCCGCGTCAGGATAACGGACTTTAGGTGTGGCCGTAGTTTCTCGTTGTCGACACATGCTGCTCAGTTCACAATAATCATAGGTCCAGACGCACATTTCCACCCAGGGAAGTTCCTCTCTGCTCAGTGCGCAGCCTCCTGAGAGGAGGACAAAGCCCTTTGTGTCTCGCTCAGCCGGAATGCCAGCACCTGCCCCTTAAGGGTGGGAGCCTGAGTGTGTGTGTGAGTGTGCCTGTGTGTGAATGTGTGCGTGTACAATGTGGAAGCCTGGCAGAAATCCATTCACCAGTTTGGTATCTGGCCCCACAAAGCAATGTTTCCTTGCTTTGAAACAAAAATAAATACATAAATAAATAAAGTTAACCCCAGAAATGCATCCACCAAGAAACTAAAGGAATCTGCTCCCAGGACCCCTCTCACTGGACCGGGGAGGAGGGGGCCGCTGGGAAAGGTGGGGAGGCCCCATCCGGACAGCCCTGCCCTCCCTTCGTCCCCCTTGGGCCTTGGCGTTCCGGGTGGGAGGCGGCGAACGTGCAGAAGGGACGTCGGCAGAGGGGGCAGGGTGGCAGACCTCCCACACTCAGCCAAATGGGATGGTCTGGCTGGGAAAACAAAGCCAGACCAGTTTTATTTTTTTCTTCTTCCAGAGCACATCCTTGAGGCCACAGCCTCTCCACTGTCCTGGCCACGGTGGGGGTTGAACCCGACCCCCCCTTCCGGAACATGGAACAGAAACAGGGAGTCGGAACGTGTCCTCCCAGAACGCCATTCCCCTCCGGGTCGGTGCCGGCTCCTCCCCAGAACACAGCCACGTCTGTACATAAACGGAACTGGCTTGGACTCTGGCAGCAAGGTTTTGACCAACCAGGGTCTCCGAGGGTTGATACAAGACGGCCCTTTCCTTGGCGACATTGCTGAACTGTTTCTGACTCTCAGTGGCCTGTCCACTGTTCCGGGCCCCCATCCGAGGTGGGATGGCCTCACCCTCCGTAGCAACCCTCGGAGCCCTGACCACCCCGCCTCTTCCCTGGGCCCAGTCCGGGTCCTCACTCTCGCCCCTGGCCTTTGGGGGTGGGGGTGGGCACCTCCTGGCCCCTGGAGAACCACCCGGCCCCCTCGACGACCTCCGGACTCCTGCCTTTCCGGTGCCCTCCTTTCTCAGCCCCGGTGGGTGTGCTTGGCTGCGGCTCCCTCGGCCGAGGGACCAGATGTTCTGGCAGGGAACGCGGGGGCCGCTCCACTCCAGACCAGCCCTGGGGACTCGGAAGCGGGGGCACGGAGGAGGGCAAAGACCGGGTGAGAAAGACCCCTGGGCTCACAGTCCGACTTGGGAGATGCGGGAAGAGACTAGAAGGAGAAGCTTCCGAAGCAAAGCAGAGAACGTTCACGAATGAAGCCCCAACGTGGAGAGAGAGCCTTCCTTTCCACCCCAAGACTGGAAAGAACCTCTTAGGGGCGGGTGGGAAGGAGACAGTGAGCATCAGTTACGACCACGGTGGAAACGAGAGAGGCCACCAGACGGGCCGAACGCAAACCAGGCCGCCCTGACCTGGGGCCTGGGCTCTGGGGCCTGAGCTCTGGGGCCTGAGCTGGCTTAGCTTCCTGTCACTCCGGGTTTTCACAAGGCCTGTCGGTTCTGCTGTGAAGGCCACGGGAAAGTTCTGTTTTGGAAGGAGAGGCGGCGCCACACTGTGGAGGAGGGTGGCAGGAGTCACTCGTCCACCCCGACCACGCCGGTCGTGAGCTCAGGTTCGGGAAGAGCCCTCCCCTACGGCGCTCCCGTCTGAGCTGCGCCCCTTCCCAGCAGCCCACCAGCCCTCGCCTTGCGGACCCGGGTCCTGCAGGCTCAGGGGGAGCCTGCGGGCGGCCAAGGGCGAGCAGGCGAGGGGACGCCCACAGCAGAGCCCTGGAAGTAGCTGGCCGGTGAGATTCGGTGACACGGATGAAAAGTCCAAGAGGAAGCAGAAGGCAGCTCAAGGAGGCTGAGCTTGTGGTGGGTGTGTGAGGTCAGCTAAGATTCCAAATCCTAACCGGGGCCAAAGGTACAGCGGGACCCAGGGATCGACCCGAGGGTCCCCACCCCATCCCATCAAACATCGCCATGGCCCGTGGTAGACATTTGGGACACTGGACGGAGGACGGACGACACTGGAACTTAATTTCTAGGAGACCTTGATGGCACGGAGAAGGAGCCTAGGAAGTCGGGGTGCCGGGAGTTTCCAGACTGTAAGCCACCCGGGGCGAGGGCACAGGGGCTTCAGAGTGACGCTCATCTCCGCCGCGGAGGGGACGTGCCCTGCATCATTTCTGAGCTGCTCCTGTGAGCACGTGCCCGGAAGGGCTGAGAGCCCCGGGACTGGGAGGGACGCTGTGGGTGGACAGTTGCGTGCGATTCCCCCCACATCCGTCCCTTGTCAGCCATCGCTGTTGAAATCTGTCCGAAGGAGGCAGCACCCCAGGTGACGTCCAGGTGGATGCAGACGGGCAGAGATGCCCCGCAACGCCTCTGGCCCTGTGGTTACTGCGCGCTCCTGACTCTCCGCACTGGTCCTGGCCCCCTATGGCCTCCACTCCACGACAGTCAGCTGGAGGAAGTCCTGCTCCAGGGCGAGCCCAGGTGGAGCAGTGAGTGAGATGGACTTGGCTTTGGATGGACAGGATTTTACTGCTGTTGGGCTCCAGCCCCTGTGGTCCGGGTGTGGCACAGTGCGCCCTGCCCTCCGACAGTCCACCCTCCTGGCCAGGGAACGCTTCCCCGAGGAACGCCTGTGCCGTGGGGTAGATGGCAAGGTCGGCTGCCTCTCTCGTGGGGGACGCTGACACCAGGCTGGTGACAGAGAGACTGGTTGGGGTGCTTCACGGCCCCTCCCGGGGAGGGGCTGTTCCTAGAGGAATTCCAGACCCCAGATCAGAGAGCAGGGGCAGAGCAGATGGGGTAAGGTTGGGTTAAGAAGTGTCCTGGTCTCTCAAAGCAAGATGCAGACACACGATCACCCAGTTTTGGGAAAACCCAGGGAAACGGAAGCGAACACAAGATATGCAAAACAGTGAGGTCCACCCGCGTGTGGACACTGACTTGGCATCGGGACCTGCCCTGGGGGGCGGGGGGCTGCACTCATCACACAGATGAAAAGAAGAGCTGTTTTCTGACCCCAACACACGTAGAAAAGCATTTCAGAGGTCAAAGGTAAAGCTTGTCACACTCCAAATACAAAATGGTTTACTTACATGCAGCAAATATACAAGAAGTGAATTCAAAAACAAACTTAGTTCAACTCATTATATTCGCTTGGCACAATTGCAATTCAGTTTTAAAAAAATATTTGTAAAATACCGAGACTGACCTGAATTCAAGTGTAACCTCTCTCCAGCAGAAACACCACCAACGCGGTGAGCGTCGCACGGACAGACCGAAGCAAAGCGCCTCTGAGGTTCTCCCTCACACTTCCGTGTGTTTTTTTAAATACAGTTGTAATGCCAACACAACTCACAATTGTATTTTGAAAATGAGTATTATTGCATTGTTTTTGCATATCTTGTGGGACAGAAAATGCAGAGAGTTACTGAATCCCGTTTCAGAAGCAGAGACAGTGGTTTGTTTTTGCTTTCATGGCCCCAGATTCAAATCTCCCCACAGTTAAGCCCTGAAGTGGGAGCGGCGGGCTGACCGGCAGGTGCAGACAAGACCCCGGCCGCACACCGACGACCCCCGTGCACACGTCACGCGCTCTCCGGAGGCCCCCGCGCGTGCTTCCCCTCTCGGGCACCCGCTATGACGCACGTCTGTGCACAACAGTACCAAGTGCATTGCTGGCTACCTTTAACTTAAGAAACCAAACCGAAGACATCTTGTCACTACCTACAGAAACTATAAGAAATTAGTGGGTGTACACAGTGGCTGGTAAAACTCTCCACGGTGGCTCGGTAGAATCCTCCGTAGAAAAGGAACCCATGATCTCCTTAAGTAACACAACAAAACCAAACCCAATTTCCATTTGCAAGAGTGAAAACAGTAAGGCGGGGGGGCTGCAAAGCTTGGAAAATGCTCCTCTTCCTCCCCGCCCACCGGGAAAACAAAAGTAAAAAACAAAGCAAAAGCCCCCAGATGAAACATGCTGTCAAGGAAAATGTCAGATCCCAAACCAGAAGAGCGCTGGCTGGCAGCTCGGCACCACTCGGTCTCGCCCACTACCCGCCGGGCACACACGTGGCCGTGGCCC